GGGGGGGGGGGGGGGCGGGGAGCATCGCAAGAATCATGAGGGCTATCAAGCATGAAGCTGAGTGACGTGGTCCTCCTCGACGTAGAGAGTACTCTTCCAGCTGGTTCGTCCTAGAGGGAGGGAGAGGGAGGGAGAGGGAGGGGGAGGAGGATCGTTGACTTCGTATTACAGTGGGGCAAGAGGCTCTGCGTGCTTCAAGGTTGAAAGTCTTTGTCGCTTGTATCACTTCTCCTCACTCTCCCTCAGATTCTCTCAATCCTCAAGTTCGTCGCGGTTGTTTGATCGTCTTTGCTGCCGATCATGGATGCGCCCTACCGATCGAACAGGTGGAGGGGGGGGGAGAGAGAGGGGAGGAAGGAGGGAGGGGTGAGGGGGTGAGGGATGGAAAGTCAGGGAGGGTCAGGGAGGGTAAGGGAGACGAGCCCTCGTGCTGACTGCCAGCAGGGAGGAGAGGCTTGCTCTGCCTTCCCGTCTGTGGTGACCCCCTCCATCGCCAAGGTCAGACCACCTCCTGCTCCCCATGCGCCTCCTCCTGCTCCTCACTGAGAGTGATAGGCTCTCGCTCATGGAAGCGCCGCCGGATCAGTGTTGGCTCGAACCGTAAGATAAAGGAGGAGATGGTCCCAGAAGGAGGGCAGGCGGGTGGGGAAGTGTTGTGGTTTGCCAAGAGGAGGAGTTCCCGTCTGACTCTCCGGGCTCAAGACAGGGATGGAGGTTCAGGTCGTTGACGTTGGGATCGCGTGCGGTGAGGGAGATATTTGATTCTCCTGCCCCCTGTGACATCCGTCAGATCTCGACACACCTGGACTGATCCGAGACAAGTCGATGAGGTAGCCAGTTTCCTCCTCCTCGTCCTCCTCGTCCTCCTCGTCCTCCTCGTCCTCCTCGTCCTCCTCGTCCTCCTCGTCCTCGTCCTTCTCCTCCTTCCTTCTCCCACCCCCTCTCCTTCTCCTGCTGTTTCACCAGCAATCCCCTGCATCGTCCCTCCTCGGCTCCTCAGCTGCGGACAGGGGCACAAGCAACTTCACCGCTGGTCCCGCCATGAGCATGGAGCAGATGGACTTCGCGCTTCAAGCTGGGATGCGAGCTGTCGACCGAGCTGGAGACGTGCAGGCCATCGCAGGTGCAGCTTGAGTAAAACTGACAGTCAGCCTGCTTACACTGCTCTTCCCCTCCTCTCTTCCATCCTCCTTCTCTACCCATCAGTTGGTGAGCTCGGCATCGGCAACACAACCACAGCAGCTGCGATTGTCTCGGCATTCTCTGGATCAGACCCACAGAAGACGTGCGGAAAAGGGACGGGGCTAGACGCAGGTGTGATGACGATACTGTCAAAGGTGGCGGTGGTGATGATGATGATGAGTGGAATTTTGGTTCGGGTAGTGATGTAGACAACGGCGTTATGAGAGTTTCTCAGACGGAGTAGCGAGGAAGGTCACGATCGTAAGGAGAGCACTGGAAGCGAATCAGGTATGAACCTTGTCGCACGTTGATCTTCCTCATTCTCCGCACCCTCCTCGTCCTCGTCCTCGTCCTCGTCCTCGTCCTCGTCCTCGTCCTCGTCCTCGTCCTCGTCCTCGTCCTCGTCCTCGTCCTCGTCCTCGTCATTTTCTGCTTTTCGCCAGGTAGCTCTGGATGCATATAAGAAAATTCTCGCGCAAGCAGGACAAGACCCGCAAGAGGTGCACCAGTTCTCCTCTTATCCTCTTTCTCCTATCCTCTTTCTCCTATCCTCTTTCTCCTATCCTCTTTCTCCTATCCTCTTTCTCCTATCCTCTTTCTCCTATCCTCTTTCTCTCCCCCCCCTACGTCTCTTCTCATCCTCCTCCAGCTCAAGCGTCAGGCTCTTCACGTCCTCGCTGCTCTCGGAGGTCTCGAGCTCGCTGCAATTGTGGGAGCAATTTTCAGGTGACCAGCCTCCTCCCCGCCCCTTTTCGACCCTCCCAGGGCTCAAGGAGGCGCAGGGCGCGCGAGAAGAAGATTGCGGTGCTCGTCGACGGCTTTATCTCCTCGGCTGCTGCCCTTGCGGCCGTGCATGCGGACCCTGACGTGTCGGAGGTACTCGATGCTGCTACTGATGCTGCTCCACCCCTCGTTTACCCTCCTGCTACTGATGCTGCTCCACCCCTCGTTTACCCTCCTGCTACTGATGCTGCTCCACCCCTCGTTTACCCTCCTGCTGCTGATGCTGCTCCACCCCTCGTTTACCCTCCTGCTGCTGATGCTGCTCCACCCCTCCTATACCCTCCTGCTACTGATGCTGCTCCACCCCTCGTTTACTCTTCTGCTACTGATGCTGCTCCACCCCTCGTTTACCCTCCTGCTACTGATGCTGCTCCACCCCTCCTTACCTCTTCTGCTTCAGGCGATTTTCCTCGCGACTCGCTCAGCCGAGGTCGGACATGAAAGTGAGACACTCCCGTTCCTGCTCCTCCTACTCATCGCCCTCGTGCTCGTCTTCCTCTCACTCATGGCTGCTCTAGTTGCTATTGAGGCTCTCCGAGCTCGCAGCACACACACTCCTCCCCCGCCAGTCCTCGACATGCAGGTGATGATTTCCTCCTTCTGTCATCTCCTCGTCCTGTGATCTGCTCGTCCTCTCATCCACCTCCTCCTCTCGTCCGCCTTCCCTCCTTCACTTGTTCGTGCAGCTTGCTTTGGGTGAAGGCACAGGAGCCGTGCTCGCCTATCCGATCCTGCGAGGTGAGGAGAGGAGGGCGAGCGGGCAAAGAGACTGAGAGGCCATCCAGGAGCAGCAGACATTGTGCGAGAAATGATCTCGTTGGAGGACGCGATGAAGTTGTAGGAGGAGAAACAAGTCACATGCATTCTTATGAAGTTGTAGGAGGAGAAACAAGTCACATGCATTCTTATGAAGTTGTAGGAGGAGAAACAAGTCACATGCATTCTTATGAAGTTGTAGGAGGAGAAACAAGTCACATGCATTCTTATGAAGTTGTAGGAGGAGAAACAAGTCACATGCATTCTTATGCCGCTGTTAAAGGACTACAACAACTGGTTTACCGGACGAGCCTGATTGCTTGACGTGAGAGGCGAAGGCTAATTGAGACACAAAGTACAAGGAGAGGAGGAAAAGAGGAGGACAAGGAGGACACAAGGGACTGGGACAGCTCACCACACGCCCTGGCTGCGGTTCAAAACTGCATCGCTCTCGGGGTCATAAGTCTTGTAGCCTCCAGCGGTCTGAATCGGCTGTTGCATCGGCCAGCTGCCTTCAAATCACCAACCAGAAGCTTCCTCCTCCTCCTCCTCCTCCTTGCATCCCGTTGCCTTTCCCCATTCCACTTGATCCTCCCCATGATCCTCCTTGCAGTCTCTCCTCTCCTCTCCTCCCTTACCCATCCCTCTGGCCAGATCCCATAGCGACGCAGTTGCTCCCAAGCTCAGACTGGCAGATAGGGTTCTCCGTGTAGTTCTTCACCGGCGCCTGCCTGCAATTCAACAAACCACAACCTTGCTCCTCCACGCCTTCACTACTTGTTTTTCCCTCCCTTGCCTCCTTCCCTCCCTCCCTCCCTCCCTCCCTCCCTCTCTCATTTTCACCCCCATCATCCTCCTACCATCGGTGAATAGTAGAAGAGAGCAAGGGGGCGGACGAATTGCTGCAATCGTAAGGATCAGCGCATGAAGCAGAACGAATGAGAGCAAGGGGAAGACAATGGCATGACATGTTCTCAAACATCTGGCATGACATGTTCTCAAACATCTGGCATGACATGTTCTCGAACATCTGGCATGACATGTTTGGCTTTTCTCCTCATCGCCTCTTCTTCCTCCATGTCGCCTCACCATTCTGGGCGACTTTTCGGGTGACGGTTACATTCGGCATAACCGAATATTACTGAGAGGCTGCCGTCAGTTTCGGTGGCCGGGCGGCCCGGAGTCCTTGAGTAACGTTTTATAACGGAAATTATTGCTGGCATTAACCCCATACATCCCTGGACTACCCCCTCTTTTACCAACCAGTACCCCCCATTTTCACAAGTTACTACCCTCCATGCCATGTATCACCCCCACATCATCCACCACTTGACACCACTACCCCTGGCTTTGATAGTTCATTTTGAGGGTGGGGTATGCGAATCCTGGTGGGTGGAGCTGGTCATCACAGGGGTGGGTGGACCAGGGTAGAAATGGGAGCGGTCAGCAAATAAGAGAAGGGGGTGGGTAGGGTGCGTATGATGTTGGGGTACCATGTGGATACGTATGGGGTCATACCTGACCTATATGGGGTGGAGTCATTTGGGGTAGGGTATGCAGGAACAGAATAGGGTGGGGTGGGGAACAGACCCGGGTGGGGTATTTTTGTGACACGTAAAGGGTTGGATCTCGTTAATCGCCATGCTCAGAGCCGCCGCCACTGTCGCCTGCATTGCCAGCGCCGCCGCCTTCTCCACCCCAGCGCTGGTGAGGATGGAGGAGATGTATCGGTAGAAGAGGAAGAAGAATGAAAAGCAAGTGTTGAGCTAGAAGAGAGGAAAGTGTCGTAGAACATCGTCCGCACTGAAAAAGGGAACAATACCCAGTCAGGTAGATAGTGACGCGATGCAAAATTGAATGGAGAAGCTTGCAAATTGTTGTATCAGTGCAAAGAATCCCTTTTATCCCAAGATTATACCAGGAACTCATGGTTAGATTTCTTGTTGGCTGTGTGACTAAGATGTGGTTTGGATTCAATTTGTTCGGTCACATTGAATTCGGGTAGATTCGCATCTACTTGCGAGTGTGATATAACGTTTGTGAGTGTTTGTGTAGTTCATTTGGTCTTGTTCATTTTAGGACAGGTAGGTCTAGAAGAGTCGATCATTAGAGATGTATTGCGTGCAGCGAAGCATTTCTTTCATGCTGAATCCACGAATTGAGATTTTTTGTACTTTTGTCTGGGATAGAGTCATAGGGACGGAGGTAGAAGGAAGAAACAAGGGGAATGCGGAGAATAACTCCGATCTCTTGCATTAACTCGTATCTCTTCAGTCTGGACTCCGCATGTCCATGGACAGGCGCGATGTGATCAAGGCTGGATCCGCCGCTGCTGCTGTCGCTCCCTTCGTTGGAGCCAAGGCTGCCGGCGCTGCCTCCAAGACCATGCCAGCTGACGGATATGCTCCCGTGATCACCGTCTTCGATCACCGTGGCTGCACTCGTGCCCCCAAGGTTGGTCCAGATGGATCGCTGGAGATGCTCGGCTGACACGACGCAGGAATACAACGGCCCCAAGTCCAACGACATGGAGGATGGCATGTTGGTCAAGGTCGAGAGCATCAAGTGCAAGGTTACCGAGTCCTACGCTGCCTCTCTCCTCCAGGAGCAGGTGAGAATTGAGAACTGGGTAATTGCTCGAAGAATCTGATTTGCGATTTCAGCTCGGATACATCAACGACAAGGCCTAAATAGATGTCTTCCATACGAAATAAATCTCCAAAGTCAGCATGTCCTGCTCACACGTTGTTGTCCTCACCATGGTGGTACAGCGTATGCAGAGAGCGAGAGATGTTCGGAATCATAGATTTATCTAGTGCATGAAGTTAAGGGGACAGATGTTCTCTGACGAAAAACGTTTCGGTCATAGTCCAATGGATTTAGTCGTAACGAATGCGGAAGTACTGGACCTCACCGTTGTTAAGATCCCTGTACCAGCAAGTCAGCATAACAGTCCCCACAGCTTCTCAGCAGCTCTACCTGCAGGTCATAATGTCGAACTCTCCAACAATACCACGAGGAACGTGGCCAGTCTGGACCTGAGACTTTCCAGTGTAGATCTTCTTGAATCCAGTGTAGATGGTGTTTCCAGTGAAGTCTCCAGCGAGGTTGCGGTACCTGAGACACCAACGTGACCAGGTGGCTAGACAACTGCATTTCTCACCCTCTGAGGGTGCAGCGCATGTTATGGTTCAACTTCCCGTACACCCGGAGGTAGAAAGACTCCCCAGCGCGTGACTTCCTCACAGTGAAGGAGCCGCGGGTCTGAAGAAATTCAGATCAGCCATGGCCTTGTCATCATTAGTCTTTAGCACCTCAAATCCCTTCTCGGTGAGCATGGAAGGAGCGAATCCAATGTTTGGCAAGCGAGCGACGATGGCAGAAGCACCTTCATCGCATATCGTTCAGCACGCTAGCGGCGCATCGCAGCAGATGCTACCGTTGAAGTCAGGGGGTCCTGGAACTGGGGCAACAACAGTGGGGGGGACGTTTTCGAGGATTCCGCCCTCAGGGTTTCCAGCAACGTCCTCCTGGCCTCCACGAACGACGAGAGACTGTCTGCGAGCCTTCATCTCACGAGCCTCCTGATCCCACGAAGAACTTCAGCTTTGACAGCAATCAAGTGACAAGAAGGGCCTGCCAACCTGAGCATTGAGATTCATCAGAGTGACGGAGCCATCAGGGTCTTCAAAGTCCTGAAGTATATCGTTACCCTGGACAGAACATCCCCGGCAATGTCAACCTGTCTGGCTACAAGTGCGATCACGCCAACCAAAAGGAGCGCTGACGCCGCAGCTAATTCACAAGTCAAAGATTGAAAGACTCCAGCTGTACAGGTTACCGATTCCAATCAGGAAGCTTGAAGATCGCTTTTTCGGAGATTCCTAAAAGAAACAATTAAAACATGCGAGATGACTTGTCACCGATTCATCAACATCAAACGAGATTGCTTCCAGAGGAATACATGCTTTCAACACCCTCGTTTGCATACAACCACGAGACATGCTTAATGTCAACGAATATATGGTAAATGAAAATCTGAAACACTTTGAGCTATTTCCTTTCATCATCATATGCTGACAGTTTCAAACAATACACCGACATGTGTAGCGATCATTTCCAAGTCTTGACATATAATCACAAAAATCAAAGAAATGGTGCTTGATTCGACAGATCGACCCTAAAAGGATTCCTACATTGCAATACATAAAACCTCAACTTGATTTCAAAATCAAACGATGATAAAACTTATCAAGCATGTCGCAAAGCAACGACACATTGTCATGCATAATAAAGCGCTGGCGAAGCATGGAAGAGGGTTGTAAGGGACAGGTTGAAGGGAGACAAAAGAAAGGCAAGACAGGAGCAGAGAAGAAAACAGAGGGCAAGATGGAGGAGGAAGAACAGAGACGGTGACGATGACGAGGAGGAGGACGATGAGGGGGAGGAGCTACCGCAGCATGTGGGAGGGACCCATAGGAGACGATCGCCATGGCCCCTGACTCTTCGGGAACAGGCAGACGTTACTTTCCGTTATATCCGTTTCAAGAATTTATAGGCAGCAACACCGTTATAATCCGTTGTATTATCGTTACATTTGATCGACGACGGTTATATGAGTGCTCTTTCCTTTTCGGGAAAGTTTGGGGAGAGGGATGGCGATAAGACAAGGAGAGGAAAGGAAAGGAGACGCGAAGACAACGAGGGGGGAGAAGAGAACTGCAGTCAGTAGAAGACCTGCTTGTTGCAAGTAGTGAACAAGTTGCTCTACTCATAGAGTGAATGACACTTATGGGGTATTGTAGTTTTGAGTTCTAGCGAGGTCTTGACGACAAGGAATAACTTCGATCAGAGGGAAGTTGTCGTTGGTGACAAGCAGCCCCCATGGAAGAGACGATGAGTGGGAGGCGACGAGAGGATGAGAGTTTAGGGTTAAGGAATGACGTAACCCGAATGACAAGAAATGGCTAGAGGGGATGTGGGAAGAGCACGAGCACGTAAAGGAGGAGGAGGAGGGGATGTATGTGATACCTGTTTGACGTGTTGGTGTTGGGTTGGATCAGATGAAGCGATCATCCGATGAGGGTCTTTCCGGCATGTCGCAAGCTTGTTCGGTGTTGAAGAGAGCTCCAGCGACGGGCGGCAGGTCGCAGAAGCAACAGGATGAGGATCCGACACTGGCGGCCATGAAGTTTGTGACGGGCAGCATCGAGAGAGACTGCGAGGGCGTGATCAAGGCTTGTTATGGTGAGAGAAGCGATCATCGTGTTGCCGTGACCTGATGATGTAGATGACATCTGTCAACGAATTTTCTCCTTCCTCGCAAACTCTTGCAAGTACGACAGCAATGCTATCGCTATACCGACGTGTCTTCTGCTGTCAGGAGTCAACTTACAGGTTTTCTTGTTGTCTTGGTGTCTTGTTCGTGACTCTCTACAGGACCATCACGGAGTTCTACATGCCATCACTCATGAACTGAAAGAGAAGAAGAACCATGTGGCCATCATCCATCCACCCGAGGTAAAGATCCTGCTTGTTCTTGTGCTTGTGATGATGACGCTGCCTCGATGTGCAGGCGGAGGATATTGGAAAATGCATAGACTCCATCGTACAACAGTTTCGCTCGTCGGATGGCGAGAGGTTGAAGCCGTCGAGGTCAAGAAGTCTTTACACCATGCAGGCGAGGACGAGGGAGGGAGAGTGCGGATGGGGATGGCCTGACATGAGCTCTTCAAAGAGCTTGAGGAGATGGTATGAGGAGAGAAGAAGCGAAGGAGCAGAGACAAAGTTGATCGTCAACCTGGTCGACATCGACTGCTATGCCGACCAGGTGAAGGAGGAAAGCGGAGGAAGGAGATGTGACAGGGAGCGGTCAGACGCTCAAGGACCTCATCGATATCTTGCATGAAGCTTCTTCGTCGCTTCCTGTCTTCCTCCTCCTCTCCCTGTCAACTACAAAGTCGTTCTCCTTGCTGTCTCCTCCAACAGCGTGACCGGCTGCTATGTAGGCATGCGCTGCCCCGCCTGCTGGCACCGAGCACGCGGATGAAGCTGGAGGTGAAGGCGAGGGAGAGGACGAAGAGGCTGACGCTGTTCAGATTCATCACAAGCTGATGCTGCCGACAGCAGGCAAGATGTTGACGCAGGTGAGGAGGAGGAGAAGGAGGGAGAGGAGAAGGAGGGAGAGGAGAAGGAGGGAGAGGAGAAGGAGGGAGAGGAAGGGGAGGGAGAGGAG